TGTGGTGGTGTGTGGTGTGGCAGTGTGGGTGTGTGGTGTGGCAGTATGGGGTGTGTAATGTGGTGGTGTGGTAGTGTGGCAGTGTGGGGGTGTGTGGTGGTGTGTGGTGTGGGGGTGTGTGTGTGGTGTGTGTGTGTGTGGGGTGTGGGGAGTGTGGTGGTGTGGCAGTGGGGTATGGCAGTGTGGTGTGGTGGTGTGGCAGTGTGGGGTGTGGTGTGTGTGGCAGTGTGGGGGGGTGTAGTGGTGTGGTGGTGTGGCGGTGTGGCGGTGTGTGGTGTGGTGGTGTGGTGTGTGGCGGTGTGTGGTGTGGTGGTGTGTGGTGTGGTGATGTGGTGGTGTGTGGCAGTGTGGGGGGTGTGGTGGTGTGTGGTGTGGGGTGTGGTGTGTGGTGTGGTGGTGTGTGGTGTGTGGTGTGTGGTGTGGTGGTGTGGTGGTGTGGGGTGTGGGGGTGTGGTGGTGTGGCATGTGGTGTGTGGTGTGGTGGTGTGGCAGTGTGGGGGGTGTGGTGGTGTGGTAGTGTGGCAGTGTGGGGTGTGTGTGTGGTGTGGTGGTGTGGGCAGTGTGGGGGTGTGGTGGTGTGGCAGTGTGGGGGTGTAGTGGTGTGGTGGTGGGTGGTGTGGCGGTGTGTAGTGTGGTGGTGTGTGGTGTGGCAGTGTGGTGGTGTGGCAGGTGTGGTGGTGTGGCGGTGTGGTGGTGTGGTGGTGTGGGTGTGGTGTGGCAGGTGTGGTGGTGTGGTGTGGCGTGTGGTGGTGTGGTGTGGTGGTGTGGTGGTGTGGTGGTGTGGTGTTGTGGTGGTGTGGTGGTGTGGCAGTGTGTGGTGGTGTGGTGTGTGGTGTGGTGTGGTGTGTGGTGTGTGTGCAGTGTGGTGGTGTGGCTGGATTGTATTGAATTGGAACAGTTTATTTAGCCAGAAAAACACAGATACCAGTGGATAATAATAACAATATTAACATGGCTGACCAGTTGAGAACCTGAGCTCTCTTTGGGGGCACCTGATATATACTATACATTTATCTCAAAAGTATTATGTAACATTTAGTATCATCTGGAATAGTACAATAGCATGGTAGTAATAAGTACATCTCATAGTGTTGCTACGGTTATCACTTCAATATTCATTTATTTTATTATTTACTATTATTTATTTTTTTATTATTATTTTGTTTATTTATTTATTTATTTACTTATACATATATATACACCTATACATATATACATATATGATGGTGGTGTGGTAGTATGACAGTAGTGTGGTGGTGTGGTAGTATGTGATGGTGGTGTGGTAGTGAGGTGGTGGTGTGGTAGTGTGATTGTGGTGTGGTAGTGTGATGGTGGCGTGGTAGGGTGATGGTGGTGTGGTGGTGGTGTGGTAGGGTGATGGTGGTGTGGTGGTGGTGTGGTAGGGTGATGGTGGTGTGGTGGTGGTGTGGTAGTATGGTGGGTGGAAACTATGGAGCTTAAAATATAATTCCATTCTGTAACCAAGATTTATATATAGTATATATAAAAAATAATGGCATTCTACTGCATAGTGAAGATTTATAGAGTAAATATAAAAATAACATAACATAACTTGATTATCATTCTGATATTCACCTTGAAAAAAGTTACTTATTGACCTTGTTAGTCAGTAGCCCCAAAAGTTTTATAATACAGGTTAACAATCCCTTATCCGAAATCCTTGGGACCAGATACATTTTGGTTTTTGGAATTTTTCGGTTTCAGAATGGTTAGGTTTTTTTTTTTTTTTTTTTTTTTTAACAGGGATCAGCCCACCCGGGCACAGGTCACTGACCCACACTGGGGCCTGGGGCTAAAATATAATAATAATTATAATAATTATAATTATAATAATAATAATAATGATAATAATAATATTATTAATAATAATTCATAGGTCTAGGTCGTGTTTCTCACCTTTGATCTTTTATCATTCTTGTATTTCTTTATTATTATTATTATTATTTTATTATTTCATTATTATTGTTATTATTATTATTATCATTCTTATTTTATTTTTGTGTATTTTATTAAAAATTTTATTTACTATGAATAATTATTATTATTACTGTATTATCATTATTATTATTATAATTATTATTACTATTACTATTACATTTTCACCCCAGGCCCCGATGTGGGTCAGTGACCTGTGCCCGGGTGGGCTAATAAAAAAAAAATTGTCCCAAAATTTTTAGGTTTTCAGAGCTTTTCGGTTTTGGGAATTTCGGATAAAGGGTTGTGAACCTGTAATATTAATGACATAAAATCCTATAAAACTGAAAATATCATTGCATACAAAACTAATTTTATAGCTTAGAAATCAATTAAACATTCTTACAAATTATATTAGTAATGTTTCCAAAAGACTGGAAGAGTCTGATGCGAGAGAGAAAAACTGGAATATCACTTATTGTTTGTGAACAATTCAGGTTCTTCAACCAAGTACTTAAATTATAGTGTTGCTAGTTCATGAGCACGACATCATAAAAAGGCTCACTGTGTGCAAGTTTTCCAATATTTTTGTTACTGGCAACTCCTCCATTTAACATCGGCACTGCTGCTGTTTATAAATGAAAAACTTTGGGATGCACATGTGAATATCTCTTGCCCTTCATATTCACCTCAATCTTGCTCCTCTATCCGGGCTGATTCTAACAAGACACCTGCAATAATATGCTACTTTATTACACTGTTATTATAGTATATCAACAGGTATGGATACATTAGTTTCACGGTATTGATTAGACTTTCTTAATTTTAGATGTACAGTCAGGAATAAACTCAGTGTTGCTGCAGTTTTAATAGGATATTTGATGTTGAAGATGTAATATGCAGTAAACAGCATAGCTAAACCAGAATCAAAGGTGCTGACGTGGTCGTTGACAATTATCCGTCGATGACAAGCATAAATCTGTAATCTATTATAAACTTTACCATTAATCTAGTTAAAATGCTCGGGCATA